CTAGTGAATGTCTGCATCGTCAATACTGTCTTTTTCACTATTTGTGTAAAATGTTGGGAAAAGGAATGAACAGCACAAGGTTTCAGAAAAAGCCCAAAACATTTCCAGAATGCACTCATTTATGTGACATTCCTGGCAAAACTTAGTAACTCAAATTCGATAATAACATTTGCATATGTTAGCATCATCCATTAATTTATACAGATACATGGATGTTTTATGGCTTTAAGGAATATGCAAACTGGAATTGTAGCTATAAGAACTGAATGCTTCATTCATTCCAGCATTTTCCATCACTGCTTTTCAGGAATTAAATGGCTCATCTTTCCCAAAATTTTCTGTAATTCCTTTGCATTAATTAACAGCTATGGTTTAGCATGAATGTCTCTGTGGTTACTTGTGGATAAGTCCTATAGACGCTTCTACGGTATCTTGATACAGTCAGGTCCATAAATATTGGGACATCGACACAATTCTAACACAGTTCTGGAACAACATCCATTATACAAGTGGGAGGCACATTTGCAAACTGTTGTAATTCCTACACCGTTCACCTGATTTGGATGTAAATACCCTCAAATTAAAGCTGACAGTCTGCAGTTAAAGCACATCTTGTTCGTTTCATTCATCAAATCCATTGTGGTGGTGTATAGAGCCAAAAATGTTAGAATTGTGTCGATGTCCTAATATTTATGGACCTGACTGTATGTCACCTGTCTCCGTTTGTACAGTAGTTACATGTTTTTACTTGCATATGTTCATGACATGTTTTAAACCAGGCACTAAAGGGTGCAAAAACATAGCTACAGCACTATTAAAGTGTTATTCAGACAGAACCTGGAATAAAGCCTCAGCGTCTGCTAAGGATTAGTCAGTTACACTCACCTGTCCAAACAGACAGAACTCTATCTGTAATTATACACGCTTTAACACACTTACACCTCACCAGGTCTACAGAGTCTGAGGAGAGATGCTTAAACACAGCAACACTGTCATTTACTGCACCTACTGTCAACACTGAGGAGACACTGATCCTAAATCAGGTTCTACTGCAGAGTAAGACATCAAACTGACCCAGAATCAGAAAAAAAGGTTTTCACATCTATATGTTTGGTAGTAGTTATTGAAAACAACTGGATATGAAAGACAAAAGTTAATCTTCAAGTTTATACTACAAGTTCAATCACTTTAGACATATTTCAGCCAGAAAAATGAAATATACCCCCCCCCCATCAGACTCAGTCATTTGATGCAGTAATATCATTTGTACATTTGCAGAACATTTGTACAGTTTAGCAAGATCAGTTGACATTAAAAATACAAAACAAAGTGGAATTATATTATCATATGACCCACCTCTACTGGGACACATCATACCTTAATGTTTGAAAGTTTGAGTGGACTGACAACAATGTAAGTGCTGAAAAAAGTGATTTCAACTTCAACATGGCTATCACAACTGTTTTACACTCTGCAGTATAATTTTTGTCTTTTTCTAACCAATAACAGCGTACATTCAATGTCAGAAACCACGTAAACATTTCTGTTTGATATACTGAACAACTCGACTCAGTCGGAGGTGAATGTGTGATGATTTACAGCTACATTTTGCATAATGCTAAACTGGAAGTTAGAAACCAGCTTTTCTTGTCAGCTGCATTAGCCTCATAGCCTCAGTAAACTTCAGACACGAAACATGTCTTGGCTATTCATCTCCATTTCAGATAAGAGGGAAAATGTGAACATTTTGTTTTTGCTCAAGCTACAGCATGATACACAGCAGACCAGAAATGTTCTGCTTTCCTTGAGCTAAAATATTCCTCTACCTCTGCTCCACACTTTTGTTTCTTCACACTTTTTGTTTGTTATAGTCCTTTACATGGTGTCTTTTCCATTTACTATACTTTCTTTATGTTCCTAATTTTAATTTACATCACTACAAGGATAAATGGATTATGCTGGTTCCAATATTATCTGCATAATTACTTCAGTATTAAATAAAACATCTATATAAACATTATGTCAAATCTTGCTAGTGTTTTGGTTCGACTCCGCCCAGATAGGAGGAGCTGGATCAGGTCCGACTCCTCCCCCTGGACTTTTGGTTCTGTAGCAAGGCATAATAGTGTACATTAGCACAGTACTGAACTGGAGGACATGAGGACCAGTGTAAATGCGGCGCCATCTACTGGATGAAGTGTGAAAGTAAATACTGGCCTGTATAATCCTGTGACCTGTGTTCAAAAGTCCATCACGTTTCATTTCCAAAAAATGTGTTCCTTCACAGGTTATTTTCCATTACAACAGCTGTGAAACATATTCCAGTCTGAAGATTTTTATAACAGATGAAGCAAAACGATTAAACAATATATGTCTTTATTTGTCTTATTCTCCGTTTGCTGGTGTCATTTAAGATTTAAGTGCTGCTATGTTGATGTGTTTGATTTCATCCACTTTGTTCTTGTGCATCTGGAAGGCGGGCGTCACCCAGCGGCCACACGAACACTGCTCTCCATACCAGTTAAACGAACCGAGCTTAGAGCTGCACTTAGGACACAGGAGCTGCAAGACAGCATTCATCACACACTTTACTACATACCAAGTGTGTTAGCTGTCATAAAGCCACAAGGCTGCTATACAGCAGGACATAAGCTGCCATGACAGCTCGTTACACCATCTTTAATGACACATTTATGACATGGTTATGTCAGCCTTCTGATGCAGGGTTCAAGAGTAGTGTTACTGAATAATAATAATAATAATAATAATACTAAAACTAAATCATCATCATCATAAAAAGGTTATACTAATAAATAGTAATATTTTATTTATGTTATTTTAATTTTTAATTAATTAAATATGCAAAAACTATTTTTAAAAACTGCATGTTTGGTGTATTTTCTTTATATATGTTTTATTTATTTATTTATTTATTTAAACCTTATTTATTTACCTACTCTGGCCTATAAAACTTTTTTTGATTAAGTAGGTCATAAAGCATTTCTTTTATTTATTTGATTTATTGTTATATTTTCTGACATTATGCTAATTTAGAAAATATAATCACTAAAAATGGTATTTTAATTAGTAGCATTAGTGTGTAGTATATAGTAGTAGTGTTTACTTTATAGTATCAATAATTATAAACTCAGAGTTGCCAGTTATACAAATCTAGCAATTAATAAACCAGCATGACATAAACTTATATGACACCTCATGACTGTGTGATTGTCAATGTGATTGTCAATGTCAGTGATTGACAATGTGATTGTCAGCATTCTGATGCAGTGTTTTAACTATTAATAATCGGAGAGTGACTGTAAGCTGCATTTTACCTGTCCATCCATGACCCCGAGCAGCGCCTCCTCCATCCACTGCACTGGCTCTATGAAGTACGACGTGCACTGGCTCTGATCCCCCGCAGGTCGTCCTCCACTCGGCCTCTTATGGGAGAAAGCAGACGCTCCGATGCCTACACAGTGACTGAGGATGCTGGAATGGCGGAACAGCGTGCGTCTGGAAAGGAAAACGCAGACACACACTTCAGATGGAAGCTGTGAAGATGGAGATGGAGATGGAGAGGGAGGTGAAATGTGATTAGATGCAGATTTCACCTGCACTTTCTGCATCTGTACACAGCCTCAGTGTTGTGGCTTTTTGCAGGGTCGACTGCGAATACATCTCTGGGAACATTTCTAAGCTCTGAAAGAAAATTGTAAAAATGTCAAATTAGTAATAAAGCAAATTACATTATCAGAGCGGGACCTGTTACAGCTGGACAATGCAAACCCAACCAGAAAACAGTAAGGGTATATAACAAATGTAACATTTGAGTCACAGTGTTATAAAATCTGCAATACGTACACTATTTATATCAAATAATTATAGTTTTCATCAACTCATCAAAAGCTGAGAGTATAATGATATGATATAGAATGATACTATTACTATTATTATTATTATAATTATTATTATAGATTTTGCCTTTTGGTTGATTTACTAGACTGATCTAATAAATTATTTTTTGCACATAAACAAATTAGGTCAAATAGTCAAAAGCAACTTTCCACTGATTCACATAAACGATACTGCCTCATTGCAAATTGCAATGCTTATTTAATTAGTTAGTGACAGACTTCAAGCTGTCTTTCAGCTTGAAAATCACCTGTCTGATGTAGTCCAGTGCCAGAAACACTGACAACAGCAACACCACAAACAAACAAGCTTCAGCTGCAACACTACACACATCTGGACTAATTTACACATTTATTGTGTTGTCCTTCATTCTAAAACTTTTCTTTTTTTTTCTATCCCTTTTCACAACTCAGCACCTGGAGATGGAGAGAGAAGTGAAATGAACATTTGCACTCATTGTGTTCCCCAAGATGTAAAGAAAAAACAACAACTATATGACACTATATGAAACGATATAAAATGACATAGCAGGAGAACAAACAGGAAAGAAAATGTGATGTGGTGAGTCTGAAGACAGCACATACCTGGATATTTCTCGGTAACCTTCTTCAGTCGGAACTGCTTGTATAACACACTGCTGGTGTCCAGTTCACAATTCATAGCTTCATACAGTGCCAACTGTTCAAGAAACTCCTCATTCATCCTGAAAACACAAGAAGCTAGCTGTTCAAAATGGTACTCAAGCATAGGCTGTGTTTGTAAGAGCATGATATACAGCTCTTCCAGTCTTACTTGACGTCTGGTTTGATGTGCTGGAGTTGTGTATACGCTTCATGTGCACTAAGCTTGTGTGTCTTCATTAAATAAGCAGTGATGATGGCAGCGCTCCGACTCTGACCTGCATGACTGAAAAAAAGGATGACAGGAGAACCAGTTAAAAAAAGCAAAGTTAACAATTTTATGTTGTAACAATGAGTCAATGCTGTGACGTGTATATATGCATATTTAGTGTGTCTGCATGCATGATCCCATCCAAGTAAAGTTTGAATAATACTTGTTAATCAATTGTTGTTGTTTTTTGTGCAATCCTGGAGGACTAGTGGTGAGGCCTCGGCACTCTCACCACCGCACCCTGGGTTTGATTCCCAGCCAGGGAAGCAACCCCAGCACATGACAGTGCACTTCCAGTGCCAGTCCCAAGCCCAGATAAAATTGGGGAGGAAGGGCACCTGGCGTAAAAACTGCTCCAAATCAAATATGCGGACCAATGATCCACTGTGGCAGCCCCTAACAGAAGCAGGCAAAAGAAGAAGAACAACAACAAACACGACTAAAGCTCTTATACCTGATACCGTCTCAGTAAGTGAGCTGACTCTCTTCAAGTCTCTGTTGCTGAGTAACGTAAAACATCATGGCATGATGACGGTGTGCTTTAAAACAAGTTTGTTTCCTGTCTAACCTGTGTTGTCAACTTCATACATACTCACAGCATGTATAAAAAAAAACATGTGGATCAGATCAGCAATCAAATCTGATCTCAGTCCAATCCATCATTTCAGACCAAAGTCAAGCAAGTGGGAGGTTTTTAGTTTTTTTTTTTTAAAGTCCCACGCACATCCCTATTAAAAAAAAAAAAAAAAAAAACTTCCAGTTTAGACCATACCCACCTCATGTAGAAATCTAAATAAATTAAGTTTATTGAAATGAAATTCTGATCCTGTATGAATCCCAAACTGGAACCTACCAGTGAACAAGAACAGATGATGTTGATCCTGATGGTGCTGACGGTGCTGATGAGGAGGAGGAGGAAGAGGAGGAGGAAGATGCATTCAGGGCATCGCTGATAAACTGGACACAGCTGTCCAGCTTGCTAAGGAGATCTGTGGATGAATCGTCCAGCGCATGGACAAATTTGGTGTGAAATCCAGAAAGCTCTGGTTGTTCAGAGTCCACACTGAGGACGTGAGTGATTCCTGCGAGGGTCAGAGATTCAGGATCCTTAAGATCTGACACAGAGCCAATATAGAGACCAGCTTCAACTGAGATCATGGTGCTGTTTAAGAGAGCCTTCCTAAATAAACAGCCTGGATTAGGAAACAAACAAAGACATAATGTTAAGAAATAAAACTTGGATTATGAATTATAGAAAAGACAAGAACCAATCACTTACCTGATTTGCTGTATTATTTCCTATTCTAGTAAAAACACTGTTTTTATTACACTTTAACTATATGTGTAGCGATGTATGTTGCACCGAAATCCTAAAGACTGAGATTTTATGCAACTTTGAATGTACACAATAAAAATGTACCTGACTGCAACCTCTGAACTAATGAGATGTAGCTGTAGAGATGTGCTTAGCTATAGCTTGCTGTGTACATGTCTACGTTTTCGTGCGTATATATTTTTTATAAATATATAAGCTGTTAGTAACTAAAGAGTTATATTATGTCTTTTTAATTGTTTTACACTGTGGTACAATTTGCAAATAATTTCAATGCTGTGATACAAATGTATAACATTTTTAACAGCTGCAATGCGTTACCTGTTCATGCCGGTCCTTTACGAAAACAGGTTCGATGAGAAACTAAAGAGAAAAAGCTTCAGTTCCGGACATTTTAGTTCCGGAATCAATGCGTTAGCAAAGTTGAGTCACTAGAGGGCATCAAGTACCAAGTCATATAGAGTGTTTATTCAAATAATTTCCTAATATATATACAGCAAGTATGATGTCAGAATGCTAAAATCCAATTTAAAAAAAAAAAAACTTACTCTCAGGGGTTAAATTGGTATTTAGGTGTGCTAGACTTTTTCTTGGGTTAGCCTAATGCCTGAGCATTTTTCAGTCCATCTGAAGTGATTTGAGTCACATCTTTGAGTGGTTACCCCTATGTATTGGCATTGCAAAACCACCATTTTTTAAAAATTTATTATTTCACTTGTTTTAACCATGATGGCCATCTTTGTGTCATGGCACACAACAAATTTTGGTTATACAGCTGTTTTTTACGGAAGCCTCAGCATCTCAGCTCAGGGTGGTCTTAGCTTCTTGGAACAAAAATTGATCTCTAGAGCACATTACAAAGTACATGTACATATATAAACATTTTGCACATTTTTGTTCCTTAGACTTAGAACTTAAGTCCTAATGTAATGCTCAAGCTTGCTCACAGTTCCACTATTAGGGTCAATTTACAATGGGAAGGGTTCGAGTCTCAGTCTTAATTTTATAGGGGGTACCTTGGTAAGTATAGTGTGCATGCAGAACATTTCAGGTTTGAGACTTCTCTTTATTTATTTATTTATTTATTTATTTATTTATTTATTTATTTTTACCGGAGCGAGAAAGTGCAATTTAAAAAAAATAATAATAATAATTCCCCTCACTTTTGGGTTGAATATCTCTGGTGGGGGACCAGATACAAACCTGAAATTTTCACAGAAATAAGTCCTCTATAGTGTCATTCTGCTATAAAAATTGAGTTTGAGATTCCGCTGGTTACAGAGCTAGGGCTAGTAGAAATGTGGGGAAAAGCCTACTTTATTCATGCATTTAGACAAATGAACAGATGCAAATAAAAAAAATGAACAGTATTTTACAGTAATTATGTTATGATTGACATACAATAGCTTATGCATGTCAGTGAGCTCTAAAATATTACTGCATTTGATATTGGCAACAGTGAAGCATGATCTATGACAGAGTTCATCAAATCTTAAGTGCAAAATGTTTATATATGTTCGTGCACCTCTAGAGATCAGCTTTTCTTCCAAGGATCCAAGACCACCCTGAGCCATAACCAAAATCTGTTGTGTGCCTTGATACAAAGATGGCCGTTGTGGTTAAAGTAAAATTTAAAATATATATATAAAAAAAAAAAATGGTGGTTTGCAATGCCAATGTATAGTCATTAAAAAAAATTAGGAAAATTAAAAATGGTCAAGCAACCTTTATTGGACCACTTGAGATGGACTCACCCATTTGCAACAATCTTACCACACAATACTTTTTAAACTAAATGCTATTTGCCTTTTAGTTCACATTGTATGATTATGTTGTGTGACATTAGGATATGTCATATTTTCCCCTTTCATTGTTAATTTGTACTCAAATTGCTGCAGCTAGTGATGTAGTAAATAGGCAGCAGAGATATGAACACACAATTTAAACTGAAACACATGCAAACTGTCTTTCTGTATTTAATTTTTCTTAGTTATCTTTATTTCCCATGCTTGTCTGCATCTGGTTTAAAATACTCAACACACACTGAACTCTCACTCCCTATGATATCAGACAGTTCTGATGTCAGTGACTAAGTCCTGAGGGATCTAATATTAATTAATTACCAGTTTCTTGAAGTAAATCATCAAAGATTAGGCTTTTTAGAAGGAATTGTGTTGCTACTTGAGTGAAATATTTCAGATGGCCTACTCATTTCTCGTAATTGGTATGATGCAATGTTTCTAAAACCCTGTAGTCTGTAGTATTCGCTTTTACTGCAGCTTTAAATCTCTTGTGCTTTCAAGTGTGCCTGATGTGCTGCTGTAAGTGTAATCCTGCCCTTTTGGCCCGCTTATGGCCGTCTCAAATGCTGTGGGTGAAAGCAAATGCTGTGACATTTATGTAAGAACCCAGTCACTCCAGAGGAGCAGTAATAAGAAAAAGAAAATAATAAGAAAGAGGCGATCAGAAGTTGGCTATGATTAGCTTTCTGATCAATTTGCTAGTATTGTTAAAATGTCACATGTAACTAAAATTGTCTTTAAAAAATCGGAGTCTTTAAAAAGTCTTAGATTTATAACAAATATGCTCCATTTTAATATTTGTGTTGTTTTTATTCTCTGTTATGATTTAGTGAGTTGAGTTTTTTTTATCTGGCCTCTCCTGTCAGGCTATAGGTCCAATTTAGAGTTACACAGAAAAGCATTTGTTAAGAAGTACATTGTAGTACAATTTTCAAATAATTTCAGTGCTGTAAAACACATGTATAGCATAAAAAAAGTGTAGTGCTCTGCCTGTTCATCAGTTCTTTACAATACCTGGTTCAGTGAGAAACTAATGAGAAAAATCTTTAGTTCTGGATTTTTTTTTTATTATTATTTCCATTTAAATTTTTTTGGTGTTTTTTATTTTCGTTTGTGATTTAGTGATGTTTTTGTGATCTGGCCACTCCAGTCATTAAGCCTATATCATTTGCTAAAGTATTGCAATATTTGCCTTTGCAAAACTGACATCTCATGTGACGAACATGACCCCATTATTAAGTGTGTGCTGTAATCATTCTGTCCATCTCTCCATCATCATATCACTGATTTTATCATCATATTAAATACCCAACAGCTCCAAGCATTTGTACTAGTATTACTAACAAAACCCAGTAAGATCATACTACTAAAGTAGGACTAAGCTATGCTCACTTCACCGACACAACTCTTTATCAAACAAAACCAAATCATACCTAGATATGTGTAAAATGATTTGGATTTTTTTCCCCTAAAGATTCCTATGAATGATTTATAAAACGTCCATACTCATGAAAAATGTTCCTAAACCTGTGACCTGTTTATTAATCACAGTCATCTTAATATCACATGCACGTGAATAAACACATCAGTAGAGAACTTTATATGGTGGAATATCATTATATGGTGGAACACTAGCAATATGAACAGTAAGTTGAGTAATTAGTCACCTGACACATTGGATGACAGCCAAACTGAAATGTGTGATAACCAGCCCCGTGCTACTGCCTGCTTCATTCAGATTAAAGGAGTAGTTTATCTTAAAATGAAATCAGTACTAATACTGACTGATAATACTAAAAATAGCATGCTTTCAGTAGTACTTTTTTATCATCATTAGTGGATCAGTTGCACTTTGTCAGTAGTACATTAACTGAATTAAAGGGGGGAAAAAATCTAATTTGCACGATTTCTGTCTTTCCATCACCTCGGACATGTTTTGCTTTAGATTTGCACTGGAGTTAGAGCTTTAATGTAACTAGCCAACAATAGCCAAACTAGCCAAGTCAATCTCACCCAAAATATTTTTTTGTAAATACATGCCCAAATATTTATATACTCACTTTAAACCACATAGTTTAGCTACTAATGTCATTGCTACATAAACGAGTTTGTAAAAGTTATTTCAAGGCCG